AAACTCAGCCTCTGTTGAGCTCTTGTCATTTTGGTGGCTTCTGTGTTTGGCCTCATTAGTCTGTGTTCCACAGTTCTCAGCTGCCATTTGATTTCCTAACTTGTCCTGAAGTGTTCCCAGAATACTGATCACTTTTTCTTTGAGACATCTGACAGAGTCACAAAGTCTCAGACTACAAATAACCCAATATGATCATGGCATCAAGACCAAACAGTCTAGGAACTCATTATGAAAACAATTTTCTTAGAATGGAGAATATTCATCAGTAATGTAGGTCCTGTCATTTCATTCATCTCAAATTATTTTGAATTCTTCCCAAACGGCTGTTCGGTTTAGATGATAGTAGGGCCATGGGCCATAAATCTGAAGCCTTGACAACCTTATGTCTGGAGAACCATGAAGAAGAAAGGATCAAAGAGGGCAAGTCTCGAAACTAACCTGTTACCTGATGGATTGCTTGGCCAAGTCACAGAAGTCTGTGCTTCCCACAGACTGGAGTTTTTGGTGCTGAATAGAGCCAATTGCTGAAAAACTGGGGGTTTGGCGAATAAATTTTAGACTGATTGTTGTGTGTGTATGCAGTGTGTGATTTTAAAAATAAACAACAACAATGATTACCCTGACTGGTTGCTTTTTACCCTATATTCTTCACAAATATTGTTTGACACCCCACACACACTTTGAAATCTGTTACACATAAATGGAAGATTGCTATATTTGTGGAAATTCTGTAATTTTTTCTCTTTTGATTACTCTCTCTCTCTGCCTGCAGAATCGTTGAGACTAATAGGAATTGGTATTTGTTTAATATGTTACATAAATGTAAACGATTGTATAAACTGTAGAGATAGCATTGGCAAGACTGTCCAGATGCAGCCTTTACATGACACCATTGTGTGACTGGTTTGTAAAGATTCACATGCAGCTCTTTATTATAGTGATTTGGGGCTTTTGTATCTATTAAATGCCACTTTTTGTGTCTTTAAATTATTTTCTCATGTTACAAAAGCTGAAATGTGGGATTTTAAGTTCATTTATCACTAGAATGTCTGGATTTTTATGTACCTTTTTTGTGTGCATCTCTAAATTTGCCTATTGCAACTCTATAGAGTGCAAGGTTATCTTCTAGGTTGAAATAATTCACAAATTGATGAATGTCATCTTGTGATACACCCTGTACAGTCTTCCTTAAAGGAATACTACAGTATATTTTTTAGTATCTACCCACTGAATGACCCAGTTTAAGTACAGCAGAGGTCTTGGTACAGTATTGACTGTCAGCAAACACAGGAATAATCCCTGTATAGAGTAGTGCCAAATTGATTCTTTCAATTGTGTATCTAGTTTAATCCCAATAAATTGATTGTTTTTAACGCCTGGCTTTTGTCTTCATTGAGAGAAGACAGTTCTGTAGGCAGCAATCTTTGTGGATTCTTTTTGCTTGCTTAGGTTTGGATCTATGAATTACTTTACTTTGGCCAAAATGAATCGCCTAAATCTGCCCTGTGGAATACAGTAGCCAGGCTCCCCGGGCATATTTTAAGTGCTCATTGGCTATGTATGACTAGTGATTACCACATTAAATAGAACAGGTATTAAATAGCACAGGTGAACTTCTCTGTCAAAACAAAAAAGCTCTGATAGCCTTGATAGTTGATTCTCTTAATGTACTTGGAATTATTAGGGGATCTTGTTAAAAGGTACTAGGCACTCAGTATGTTCCTTAATTAAAATTCCTTTGGCTGCATCAGCAACTTTTTTTTTTTTTTTTTTTTTTTTAATCTTTTTGAGACAGTCTCCTGTACCCCCAGCTGGCCTGGAACTCACTGTGTAGATCAGGCTGGCTTTGAACTTACAGAGATCCACTTGCCTCTGCCTACCAAGTGCAGGAAGGCTACAGTGAAACCCTTTTCTCAAAACAAGAAGCTCTATGTTGACTTGGTCCATCAAGGATTGAGAACCTCTAGTGAAGACAAGATTCTAGAACCTATTCTAAACCTCAAAGCAGAGTACTTTAATCTGGGTGCCCAGCATGTTCCCAAGGTGACTCTGACATCAGGTTTGCTGCTTATTACCTTGGTACTTGCCCAGATTGTACTGCAAATTATGAAATTATTTACTTTAAGTGGTCACAAGTATGAAAGGGAGAGAAAAGAATTGAGTGGCTGATATTATCTAAGGCAGTTCTTAGGATATGTGGTACATAACGAAGTTCATGCTCTATACAACTTTTAATAGAGGCAGTGACTTGTGGGGTGGGGAGGCAGGCAGTATTGGAAAGTCTTTGGGCAGGGAAAAGCCAAAGATTTCTGTGAGCTTTGGTGAGGAGGAAGGAAAGGAGGAAAGCCCTTGAGGTTGTGAGATAGAATCTTCAGTTCGTAAATGGATCCCTTGAAAAATAAAGACTGCAAATTGTATTTCATATTTAGGAGGAAGTTCATTGATAGAGGGCTTGTCCTAGCATGGCAAAGCCCCTGAATTCAGTCTCTAACACAAAAAAGAACTTGTGTGGACTTCTGGGATTGTTTCTGAGCATCACTCCATTGTTGACATTTTCCATATTCTCCCCTGCAGAACACATTGTAATGCATATTTTCACACCTTAATACTTTTCTTAGGGCAGTTCCTAGGAATGAGATTTTTAGGTTGAGACTTTTTTTTTTGGTCTTTTTGAGACAGGGTTTTCCTGTAGCCCCACCTTACAGCCCCAGCTGTCCTGGAACTCATTATGTAGACCAGGCTGGCCTCGAACTCACAGAGATCTGCCTGCCTCTGCCTCCTGAGTGCTGGGATTAAAGGTGTGCGCCACCACTCCTGGCTAGGTTGAGACTTTAAGATAGAATTTCACTGTAGCTCAGACTCCTGATTACAGGTGTTTACCACCACCGTGCCCAGTGAATGTAAACATTTTAATGGCCTTGATGTGTGGGTTCCTCAAAAGTGGACATGTGTGAATTTGTGTTTGATTTGTACTGGAATGCTGATTTCACTGGAGATTTATAACCCAATCACATGTTAGCATACTGTTAGCTCTGATTATTTGTGGATTTCTCTTTTTATTTTTAAATCTTAGGTTTTTTATGTATATGAGTGTTTTGCATGCATGTAAGTGTACCCCTGTGTGCAATGCCCACAGAGGCCATAAGAGGACATTGGATCCCCTGAAACTGGAGTTACAGATGGTTGTTAGCAGCCATGTGGGTACAGGAAACTGAACCTGGGTCCTCTGCAAGAGCAGCAGACTTAACCACTTACTCTAGCCTGGATTTTCCTTTTTATTATACTAAGTGTTCTATCCAAATCAATCAGGTTTCACTAGTTTATTTTGTATGAATTATTTTGTGTTGCCAAATAGCCCTTACTAATCATGAATCTTTGAGTCCTAAATTCCTCTTCTCAATCCCTGGGATCCTTTACAACTAAGGTCTTATTTTGTCTTTTTCACTTTGAGGGTGTTTCCTTCACTCCTAGGTGTAACACTGATGACAGTAGTCCAGCCCAAACTTTTTGTAATCTCATATGCTCAAGTGGAATTTAGACAGGCAGTAGTTAATTTATATGGCGAGACATACAATTTGAGTCAGAATTTCCACTCTAAATGCTAATGAGTCTTTTTTTGTTTCTAGGGCCCAGTGTTACCATTACTGACAACTTATATTAGAACTGATGCATTGCAAATGTTGGCGAGTGGTGTATAATTTACATGGAAATTAGTTGGAAATTTTTCTTGTTTTTTTTCTAAACAGAATTGTGATAGCATAGACGTTCCTTGTGTTAAAATATCTGCTTTACAAATTACACAGCTCTTACACCTGCTTCTTAACAAATAGCACTGGAAAAATCAAATCTTTGATAGTAGTAGTTTGTACTTATACAGAAAAACTGTTAGCCAAAAATGGAGATTGTGGTAGCAACAGCACCACAAAATATTTCACCTGAATGGAATCAATCCCTGTGTTTTCTGGTGCCAGCAGAAAGAAGGGACATTCAATAGCACTCTCTTATTTCTAAATAGCTACCTAGGAGATTCCAAAAGTAGTAAGATCCTAAAATTAGAGTAGGATACTGAGGGAGTTAACATGTATGGTGAGGCCAAAGCATGAAGTAACGTGTTATTAGATGAGGCGAACTGAAACAATGTTTTAGACACGTGGAGGTCAGTAGAGTCTAGTTTAATTTTTTGTTGTCTTTGTCACAATAAGCCTGGCTGGATATATTACACCATTGCTTTTCAAGATTTGTACATTCAGCAATATTCAGTACCCATGATTTCTTGGCTGTGTGGTGGGGTTTTTTTTAATATTTTATTTTTATGTGTATGAGTGTATTGCCTGTATGTATGTGAGTGCACCCATGTTGTGCAATGCCGCAGAGGTCAGAAGGGGGCTTTGGATTCCCCTGGAACTGGAGTTAAGGACAGTTCGTAGCCGCCCTGTAGGTGCTGGGAATCGAACCCGGGTCCTCTGCAAGAGCCGTCAGCGCTCTTAACCGCTGAGCCATCTCTCCAGCCCCGGTTTTTTGTTACTTTACATTTTCCCCCCCGTAGTTAACTCCCTTATGCCGAATCCCCTCAGTAGGATCACTGATGCCTAAGACACATAGGCACGCTGTGTCTTAAACTGTTAGAACTTAAGTTCTATGCTGCAAAGTGACAGCCTAATGAGAAGCCACGCAGGCCAGCTTAAAAGCCGGTACATGGGCTGCTCCACGGAGGCCTGCGGTGGGACCCAGGCCTGAGAGCTGGGAACCCCCTCGGACCCACCCCACCCCAGCGGCTCCATACCCTAGGGCTGACTGGGTTGCGGTGCCCCGCGCCCCTTGTCTTTCCCGTCTTCTCTACCTGGTGTGCTAGGCGCCTCGCTGTGCGTACCAGCCGCTGCCCACCGCGGGCGGCTCGGGCTGCTGCCACCGCAGGTCTGCGAGCCTGGGTCCCACTCCGCGGGCATCGCTGGCAGCCAGGGAGGCGGTGAGGGTGCAGGGCAGGCGGGGCGGCCCGGGTCGGAGGGAGGGGCGGCGCCCTTGTCTCGGTGACTGCGCCTCTCGCCCAGACTCCCGGGATGCGCGGAGGCGGCGGCGATGGCGAAGATGCCTCTAGCCCGGCAGCATCCGGGCCGCGGAGTGCAGCTGGGGTCGGGGCTGAGAGATGGAGGAGGAGGGGCGGCGCTGCGGCCCCCTGGCAGGTGAGCGACCCCATCGGGATCGGAGGCCGGCGGGGGCGGGAACGGGAGCCGGAGCCGGAGCCGGCCGGGCCGGGGCTGAGCTGGGCCTGGCGGGCCGCGCACCTGCGCTCCGGCGCGGCCTGCGGGAAGCTCCGGGGCTCTGCTGGCCCGGTGGACTCCAGCCCACAGCCCATGCCGTGGCCGAGCCCCAGACCCCATCAGCCCTCCTCCGAGGCTCTGCCAGGCGTCCCCGCACCCGTCTAGGCCCTCCTTGCCACCATCTTTCAACTCTGGGGAGCCCCTACCACCGCCAGTCATTGGCGGGGCGTCGACCTCCAGTCTCCCACTCCACTCGATCCTTGGATAGACTAGGGCTCTCCTCATCCCTCTTTCCAGTGACCTAGGTCTTCCCACCCGGACAGCTGCTAGCGGTTTCAAGGGCTAGTTCAACCTCTTGGAACAAATAAGCTAACTAAAGCTAGCTTGATTCTTACTGACCTTGGGCAAGTTGTCTAGCTTCCCAGAGGTTTTCCACATCAATACGAATCGGTGGGGATAATAGCATAGAACCTTGTTCAGTGTGAGAGGCAGGCTCGAAAAACGCCTGCTGTAAAGACACTTGAGACTCTATGAGGGAAAATAATTAGTTGGAATAATCCAGGTAGTGAGTTAACTTGTAAATCTCATATAAATGTTCTAATATTTGCCCCCCAAAATTAAAACAACACACGATTAGGGAGTCCTTCACACCTTGTTTTTTGTTTTGTTTTGTTTTGTTTTTCGAGACGAAGGTCTTGATATAAAGCCCAGACTGGTCTCCCACAGGGCAAATTTCTGCCTCAGCCCCGTTGAGTGCTGGGATTACACAAGCTTGTGCCCCCACATCCACTTTTTTTCACACATCTTAATGAAAGTAGCCACTAGGTAGTAAGTTTTGAGTTTCTAGGTCTTCTGCTAGATATTTCAGGTTCCCTCCTCCTTAATAGTGATTGATGCATGTGAATTTTTTTTTTTTTTTTTTTTTTTTTTTTTGCAATCCAGGCTGGTCTTGAATTCATGATCCTCCTGCCTCAGCCTCTCAGGTGTCTGTCACTACAACCTGCTTATTGTGATTGATATGCATGCTTAAAACCGGTGAGCAGTAAAGGTACTTGCCACCAAGCCTGAGGACCTGAGTTCAGTCCCTGAGAACAATGTGATGGAAACAAGGAATTCCACAAGTTCTCTGGACGCCACACACTCATGGCAGAGGTGTAGACATAGGCACACACACACACATGCACATACAATAAATAAATACAATAAATATTTTTTCACAGCTAATGTTCTAACTTAAAATTTTTTTATTTTTTTAAAATCAGTTTCTTGCTGGGCGTGGTGGCACATGCTTTTAATCCCAGCACTCGGGAGGCAGAGGCAGGCAGATCTCTGTGAGTTCGAGGCCAGCCTGGTCTACACAGTGAGTTCCAGGACAGCTGGGGCTACAGGGAGACCCTGTCTTAAAAAGACCAAAAAATAAAATAAATAAAATAAAATTACTTTCTCCCCCCCCACTTTGGTCTGTTTTGAGACAGGGTCTCCTTGTAGCCCCAGCTGGCCATGAACGCATTATGTAGACCAGGCTGGCCTCGAACTCACAGAGATACACCTGCCTCAGCCTCCTGAGTAATGGGATTAAAGGTGTGCGCCACCACACCCGGCTGAAATCAGTTTCTTGTAATGAACTCAAATAGAAACCTCATGTAGCTAGGTTAAGGCAGCCACTTAAGCAAACGCTTGCCCAGTCCCACCCCATTCTATGCATCTCAGTGAACTTCTACCTGGCTAGAATGGCCATTCTTAAGCCATGGGGCTTCTCTTAGGGATTTACACTTTCAGTGTGAAAAAAAAAGTGTAAAATCTCTCTGATATGGTTTGCATCTTCTAGGACATGTCTGTGACCCCAGAGATAAAAAGTAATATGTATACTTGCATTGGAAAGACCTTCAGTAATATTTAGGAATAGTAAACAGGTATTGACTTCCCTCCAAATCACTGAGGTTTATATTTCTGTTATCATAACTTGTTCCAAATTGTGACCCTTAATTATTCTTATTCTTCCTTCTTCTTCTCCTCCTTCTCCTCCTCCTTCTTTGAGACAGGGCTTCCCTGTAGCCCCAGTTGACCTAGCCTGGAACTCGCTATGTAGACCAAGCTGACCTTGAACTCACAGAGATCTGCCTGCCTCTGCTTCTAGAGTGTATCACCACACCCAGCTTATTTCTTCTTTAAAGAGCCAGGTGTTAATACTGAAACCTGGGCTGACTTTTCTTCCATTTCCTTTACTGTTGTGAAGTTTCTATGTTCAAGCCTTTTCTTCTATTTTATCTTCTGTTTAAATCTCTTCTCATCCAAACCCCTGAATGCATCTTTTATTCTAGTTATCCTAATAGGAAAGACTTGCAATTAATTATTTTATACAGGAATTGTAAATATCAGGTTTGCCAAGGGGTATGTCAAATTGTGTGTGGTGTGTGTAGATAAGGTAGGTAGGTAATGTGTCACATATAGACAGATTAGAATTTTGTGTTCTAGAAACTTTCACTTGGGAACTGAATTTAAAATCTCCATTAGGTCTATTGTAAGAGTGAAATAAAGTTTAATATCTTATGTAAAGCCTCTTGTATGAAGGTCTAGCAAGTAGTAATCACCCAATAAATGACACCTGCCAATATTAGCTTTGACCCAGGGGCCCCTCTCTTTATCCTTCCCCTTCTCCCTCTTCTCTCCCTCCCTCCCTCCCCCTCTTTCTCTCCTCCTGTGTGTGTGTGGGGGGGTGAAGAATGTGGGCTCTGAGGGGCAACTGCTTAGTTCATATGGAAGCCATGCCACTTGGCTGAATTATCTCTCACTGACTCAGTTTCCTCATCTTCAAAGTAGTGATGTCGATATTAAGGGGATTCAGTAGTTTAGTACCTGACACATCATAAATAGTAAAACAGATACTGAGACTGATGCTGGTCTGGATCTCAGAGACCCTTCTGTCCATACTATGCCTCTGAGTAATGGAATTACAGGCATCGATCACCACACCCAGCTGGAGTTCTGTTTTTGCTTTTGGGTTTTTTTTTTTTTTTTTTTTTTTTTTTTTTTTTTTTTCAAAAAAAAAAAAAAAAAAAAAAAAGAGGACGATAAATCTTTCACTGTGATATATCAAAATAAAAAAAAAAACCTGTCTCTGCTTCCCAAGTGCTGGGATTAAAGGCGTGCGCCACCACACCCAGTAAATTCTGTATTTACTAATTGAAAAAAAATTAATTGAAAAAATATACTACCCAAAGTTGCCCCCATGATAATTCCATTTTTTTTTTTCCGATCCTGGATTGAACTCAAGACCGTATGCATGCCAGGCAAATGTGTTACCACTAAGCACAATCCTGTCTCAGCCTCCTGAGTAGCTGGGATTACAGCCTATGCCACCACCTGGCTCAAATCATCTTTTTTTTTTCCTCTTCTTAATTAATGCTGGTGCTTCAAGATCTCATTTTCCACTTGCCAGTCACCTCTAGCCTGGAGTCTTCCTAACTTCCATCACTCTACTTCCTTAGTACCCAGTTTGTTTCTCTTAGCAACTTGATTACAGGATCTTTATCCCTCTAATTTCCCTGGACCCAACTCCTGCTTTCTTTCTTCATTCCTCTGTTTCTCCACTTCAAAGAAACTTCTGCCTGGGAGCCCAGCCCAGGAGGCTGCTACACTAGAATCTCTCTCCTCACTGCCTCCTCAAGTGGAGTTTTCCTTCTCTTCATAAATTAACTCCAAGGAGCAATTTTTCACCTACATTCAAAACATATTTTTTATTATAAAGCTATGAAAGGAATTCAGAAACAGATGTCTTAAACTAGAAACAGTAAGAGCTGTCGCCATTATTTGACTCTACTCATCAATAAACCAAAGTTCAGGATTTATATTTTTCTCTCCCATAGAACTTATTTTAAAGAAAATACAGGAAAAAAATTGGTTTTCACTTTGCAGTGGACAAATTCACTGCCATGTATGATCTGCAGCATATAGCTATTTCAGATGTAGAAAGAGGCTATCTTCTTCCTTGAAAAAAGGCAGAGTTATACAGTTCTCCCAGGACTGATATCTATTGGATTCTCACTACCATAGCTGTACATGTTGAATGATTTCTATTCTAGAAAGCCCATAGCTATTGTTTGGAGCCCCAGTAATCCCTGACTGACCCGGCCTGCTCTGTGCCGCCTGATCCAGCAACTAAAGGGTTGAGAGCTGAGGCCTCTGGGATCGAGCTTGAACTGGTACTTAAGTATTCTGATCATGGGCTCTGGACCTCCCCAGTGCATTGATTATCCCTAAAATGTTGGATTAAAGCAAATGCTTTCCAGTTGTCAAGAGAATAGCTCTGAATGTAGTCTGCCTTGCTGAAATCTGTGGGAGCAGGAAGAACACCAGGCCGCACAGGTCATTGAGGTTGGAAACAGTGAAGACTGGTGTGAGTGTATATTACATCTCCTTGCATGATAGAGAAAAAAGATTATGGGAAGAATGAAGGAGCAGGAAGATTATTTTTGAACAGGATGTTTTTTTTAAAATATTTTATTTTTATTTTATGTGTATGAGTGCATTGCCTATATGTATGTGAGTGGACCCGTGTCGTGCAATGCTGCAGGGGTCAGAAAAGGGCTTCGGATGCCCCTGGAACTGGAGTTAAGGATGGGTTGTAGCTGCCATGTGGGTGCTGGGAATTGAACCTGGGTCCTTAGCAAGAGCAGTCAGTGCTCTTAACCACTGAGCCATCTCTCCAGGCCCCAGTATGCTTCTTAATCTTGTATGCACCTTCAGTGGCTCCATAATGCTAGCCTAAGGTGCACATCTGATTAATGTAAACTGGTGAATGAATGCAGGAATACATGCCTCCTGTTTGATAATGAGAATATCCCTATTGGAATAATGGTAACTAACAGAGTTTACATAATGATGCTTTTGCTTGTTTTGTTGTTTGTTTTTGAGACAGGGTACAGGGTATCACTATGTAGTACTGACTGGCCTGGAACTCTCTATGTAGACCAGGCTAGCCTCAACACACTGACATTCACCTACCTCTGCCTCCTGAGTGCTGGGATTAAATGCATGTACCACCATGCCTGGCTCGTGATGCTTTTTATTTTAAGATTTATCTTTAAATTATGCATGTGTGTGTGTCTGTGTGTGGGAATGTGCAGGTGAGTGAAGTGTAAGCAGAGTCCAGAAGAGGACGTCAGATATCCTAGAGCTGGAGTTACAGGTGGATATGAGCTACCCAGCATGGATGCTGGGAACAGAACTCAGGTCCTCTGCAAGAGTAGTTGTGAACTATCTCTCCAGCCCCATAAATGTGTATGTGTATATATGTGTGTGTGTGTTTGTATATGTGTCTGTATGTATGAGTGTGTGTGTCTGTGTGTGTGTGTGTGTGTGTGTGTGTGTGTGTGTGTGTGTGAGTATATGCATGTAGTGCCAGGAGATCAAACCTCCTGTATGCTTGGAAGATAGGTGCTCTACCATTATACTACATCTGCAGACCCCGAAGAGGTGGCTTTGCACCTTGTAAATTACAAATATAATTCTAGACATCTTTTCCAGACATCTTTTGTTACTTTGATTTTTTTCTTTTCCCTCCTTCACAAATGTAGTCCTACATGGAATTTGGCTTGGTTTGGTCGAGACAGGTCTCACTATATTGCCTTGACTGGCCTGAAACTCACTATGTAGACCAGGCTGGCCTTGAACTCACAGAGATCCACCAGCCTCTGCCTCCTGAGTGCTGGAATAAAGGCGTGTACCACCATGCTCTGGCCTTAGATTTTTTTGGACTGTTATGAGTGTTTGCCTGCATGTATGTGTGTGTACTGCTTATGTGCCTGGTACCCATGAAAGCCAGATGTCAGACCCCCGGAACTGGAGAGTCAGACAGTTGCGACTACAATGTGGGTGCTGGGAACTGAACCCGGGTCCTCGGCTAGAGCAGCATATATGCTCTTAACCCCTCAGCCATCTCTCTAGCTCCACCCCCCAGTGGAATTTTTTTCCCCCCAAAGGAGGGTATTCAAATTGGCCAAGAACTCTCAAGCTAGAAAAAGAAAGACATGCTTGGAAATAAAGAAATGAGCTTTTCAGCAATTATGGGAGTTTAGTGAAGGGCAACGTTATGTATCAACAATACCCCTGCTTATGTTTCAAGCACAGCCGCTGTTTGCTTCAGTCCCTCTGCTGTAAAGATGTATTCCCCTTCTCCCAGAATGTTCTTTCTTCTCCCTGCCCATTACCTTTTGCCCAGCTGGCTTCTCACCAAAACCCCCTTTATCCTTTCCCGGCTCCTCCCCCAGCTAGATTCATTTCTTCTCCTCAGTGTCCGTAGCTCCCTGCAACCCCATGGGACTGTAGTCACACAGATGGAGTACCTCCAATGGAGAAGTTATGGTCCCATGTATCTCCAGTGCCTGGTTTGGACTGTTTGTTCTGTGTTGTACTTTGTGAAGAAGCATACTTTCTAAAATAATAGAGCTTGGGCAGTTAAAAGCACAGGCTACTCTTGCAGAGAACCCAGGTTCAGTCCCCAGCTCCCATATGGTGACTAGCAACTATCCATAACTCTAGTTCAGGGGATCTGATGTCCTCTTCAACCTCATAGACATAAGATTTTTTTAAATTAAAAAATATTTTAAAATTTCAAAATAGTAGAGCTGAAAATGTCTAATACTTTTGTAAAAATAATGTGATCACTGTGGTCTTAATCCTTTCTGTCTCTGGGTGTACATTTTTGTGTGCAGGCTTACCGACCTTGGGCCTCTTTTGGCACATGTCACACGTCTGTGAGTTGAGGTCCTGACTCCCTTCCTGCTGAGTTTCTTTTTTTTTTTTTTTTTTGACCCCAAAAGGAAGAGACGCTTCTCTTTTTGGACACCAAAAGGAAGAGACGCTTCTCTCTGAAGATGAACTCGACTTCCCCCCTTCAGAATGCGCCCAATGCCACCTCACTGCACCTGCCTCCTTCACAGGGAGGAAACAGCACCTCCCTCCAGGATCTTCAAGACCTCATCCACACAGCCACCTTGGTCACCTGCACTTTTCTGCTCGCTGTCATCTTCTGTTTGGGCTCTTACGGGAACTTCATTGTCTTCTTGTCTTTCTTTGATCCAGCCTTCAGAAAATTCAGAACCAACTTTGATTTCATGATCCTGAACCTATCCTTCTGCGACCTCTTCATCTGTGGTGTCACAGCCCCCATGTTCACCTTTGTGCTGTTCTTCAGCTCAGCCAGTGGCATCCCAGATGCTTTCTGCTTCACCTTCCACCTCACCAGTTCAGGCTTCATCATCATGTCCCTCAAGATGGTAGCTGTGATCGCCCTGCACAGGCTCCGGATGGTGCTGGGGAAGCAGCCCAATCGCACGGCCTCCTTCCCCTGCATCTTGCTCCTCACCCTGCTTCTCTGGGCCACCAGTTTCACCCTAGCCACCTTGGCTACCCTGAGAACCAGTAAGTCCCACCTCTGTCTCCCCATGTCTAGCCTGATGGCTGGAGAAGGGAAAGCCATTCTGTCTCTGTATGTCATCGACTTTGCCTTCTGTGTTGCTGTGGTGTCTGTCTCTTACATCATGATTGCTCAGACCCTTCGGAAGAATGCTCAAGTCCGAAAGTGCCCTCCTGTGATCACAGTTGATGCTTCCAGACCACAACCTTTCGTGGGGGCCCCTGTGAAGGGGGGTGGAGAGCCCGTGCAGTGCACCGTGCCGGCCCTGTACAGGAACCAGAATTACAACAAACTGCAGCACGTTCAGACTCATGGATACACCAAGAGTCCCAGCCAGCTGCCGACCTCTGCAGCCAACCGACTCCAGCTGGTGTCAGCCATCAACTTGTCCACTGCCAAGGATTCCAAAGCCGTGGTCACCTGTGTGATCATCGTGCTGTCGGTCCTGGTGTGCTGTCTTCCACTGGGGATTTCCTTGCTGCAGGTGGTTTTGTCTGACAATGGGAGCTTCCTCCTTTACCAGTTTGAACTATTTGGATTCACTCTGATATTTTTCAAGTCAGGATTAAACCCTTTTATATATTCTCGGAACAGTGCGGGACTGAGGCGGAAAGGGCTGTGGTGCCTCCAGTACATAGGCCTGGGCTTTCTCTGCTGCAAACAGAAGACTCGTCTTCGAGCCATGGGAAAAGGGAACCTTGAAGTCAACAGAAACAAATCTTCCCATCATGAAACAAACTCCGCCTACATGCTGTCTCCAAAGCCACAGAAGAAATTTGTGGACCAGGCTTGTGGTCCAAGTCATTCAAAGGAAAGTGTGGTAAGTCCCAAAATCTCTGCAGGACACCAACACTGTGGTCAGAGCAGCTCGACCCCCATCAACACTCGGATTGAACCTTACTACAGCATCTACAACAGCAGCCCCTCCCCAGAGGAAAGCAGCCCTGGAATCTTACAGCCAGTAAACTCTTTTGGCTTTGCGAGTTCCTACATTGCCATGCACTACCACACCACTAACGACTTAATGCAGGAATATGACAGCACCTCAGCCAAGCAGATTCCTGTCCCCTCTGTTTAAAGTCACGGCCAGTGAATCTTGTGCCAGTTTTTTGTCCCTAATACTGATGGACTCTAAAAGATTTTGAGGTCAGTGGCATATCAAAACTTGAAGAGTCAACTGAAGAGTTGACTTTTGGATTTTCTTTTGTCTGGAACATTAGCATCTGGATTTGCTTTGTAGTTTCCTGACATTTTAAGATTTGATGTAAAAGTTTATTTAGATTTTTACCCTGACTTGTAACCCAATCTTTTGTACTAAACCTCTAAGAAGATGCCAGAAATGATGATTCTACTATGTTAAGTAGAAAATCTACTGATTACAACCCTTTGAGTCAGTGTTACAGGTCCTCAGAGTATGTATTAGGTGGATTTTTTAAAAAGAAGTTTGAAAAAAATCTTTCTGAAGTGTTATTTTTTATAAAAATGTGAAATTTGAGCCTTTGAAGTACTGAAATAGAAAACAATATACTTTTTTGGTGGCGGGTTGATTTAAATAAGTAACACTGTTAAAGCAGAATATTAGATATATTGCCTATACCTCTGTCCTTAGCAAAAATTCTCACCCACTCATCTTTTTATAAGAGTCACCTAACATATAAAGCTATGGCTATTATCATTCCTTACTATAGAACTTATTGTTTTGCAACACTTGAATAGTTGTCTAGTTCCTTTGTTTGTTACCAGTGAACTGCTCTGTTTCAGGGCTGTATTTGAGCATTCTACTAGTGATGAGGACCCCTCTATAGTAAAGGAGCACTGTTCAGGGGGAGCAGGCCCTGTGTGATCAGCTTAGGCTGTTGCTTATGGAAGATGGTGTGCATTGTTGTTTAACAAGGCATGGAGATGTAATTGGGAGAGTTTTGACTTAGGCTTTCCTTCTGTGTGAGAAGAGTGTAGTATCCAGCTACCTGACAGTATTCACATAACTATTTAGAAATGGCTTTTTTCTTTACATACTACTGTGGTAAAAAATTTCTCAAAGTGATCTATTAATATTTTCAACTAAATATTTAATGGGGTTTGTTTTGTCTTGTGAGACTGAACCCAGGGACTCATGTATGCTAGGCAAGCAGTCTACCACTGAACTACATCCCCAGCCCCTAACTGTTTTCTATCTCTCCCATTAATCTTAAACAGATATGAGCAACTATATTAAGTATTTTTACACTTGAAGCTAGTTTTATTATGTACTCTGTGATTCCTAGGATAACAACTGTGAAGTCATATTTTTATGTAAAAGTATTTTGATCATACAGAGTTTGAACTCACTAGAACTTTGGAACTCTAACTGTTAGATGATTCCTAGGATAACAACTGTGAAGTCATATTTTTATGTAAAAGTATTTTGATCATACAGAGTTTGAACTCACTAGAACTTTGGAAAACTGTTAGACTCAAAATAAGTACCTTTACAACTGTTATATTTAAGCATCTTTGTTGCACATCAGAAGGTACAAAGAGCAGAAAGTTCCTTTGGAGTATAGCACTCAGCTCCTAGTGCCCCCCCTTAGTGTTGTTCCCAAACACCAAGCTCATGGGAGATGGTAAGAGACAACAGAGTAGATTTTTAACCAGAACTAGGTTCAGCCCCATCCAGCAACAATACCTTCCAGAGTTCACTAGTCATTACTGTTTCTGCAATTTAAATGGGAGGGTAAGGCTTTAACATTCACTTTGTGGGAATGGCCTATTGGCCCACCTACCTCTTCTTTCCTTCCCTAACGCCCTCTCTTCTCTCCCTTCCTTCATTTTTGATACTGAATTTTATAACATGTCCATTCTCTTTTTTCTTAGTTGAATACTACTTTTGAAAGTCACGATTACCTCTTTCATCTGTGCTTTTATGGTTTTAACACAGCATTGATCTCATTAATACACCCATGAGTTAAGAAATCCAATATCCTCTCCCAAAACCATTTGAAGAATTTTAGCAAATTATTAGTTTTGTCTTAATTGAAAACCTTGATTTGGTTCTATAAGCAAACAAGTTTGTAATTAATAACAAGAAGATAGTTCACATTTTTAAAGGTATATTTATCTCTTTTGGGGGAGTAGACATTTAAAATGAGACTTAATAAAAAGCTATAAAATTACTACTTGTAGTTGGGTATGGTGGCATTCGTCTTTAATCCCAGCACTTGGGAGGCAGAGACAGGAGGAGCTCTGTGAGTTCGAGGCCAGTCTGGTCTACACAGCAAGTTCAGGCCAGCTGGGGGTACAGGGAGACCCTGTCTCAAAAAAAAAAAAAAATCACTGCTTGTAAGATTTTAAATGTCAGCTCTTCCTGCATGACCTTTGAGTCTGAGGTGATTTGACCAGCATGGGGCCCATATTTGAGCATAAAGAAAATGAAGCATGTACATAGAAGGTATTCGGTTTCTTTATGTTTGTTGAAAAATTGCTGATTAATTTGCATGAAATACATAGTGGGCTAAATTCTCGGCTCCCTTTCTAACTATATATAGAGATGTGTTTGTTTCTTTATAAGTCACATGTCTGTCTATCCCTGTACAGTGGCCGTATTGACATGGACAAACATATGTAACTTGTCTCCTTAAAAGGGCTAAAATGAGAACTCAGAGGAATGAGAATCCGGTTGAATATGACTGGTTTGCAGAGTACATCAGTTTGTTCTGTTGATGCTTTCCTGTGTACAAAGTACGTGTCTCTGAAACTTTTTTTTTTTGTCTTTTTGAGACAGGATCTCCCTGTAGCCCTAGCTGTCCTGGAACTCACTATGGAGACCAGGCTGGCCTTGAACTCACAGAGATCCTCCTGCCTCTGCCTCTGCCTCCCGAGTGCTGCGATTAAAGGCGTGCACCACCACACCCAGCTGAAACATTTTATAATGGTTGTTCTTTTGTTAACCATTAGGCCAGGTTTGTATTTCTGATGCTTTTAATGTACTTTTAAAATAAGTTTGGAAATAAAAATAATGAAAATTCTAACTTTTGGAGTTTTGGGGTTTTTTAAATTGTTTATTTTAATCTTTTATTATTATTTATTATTTTGATTTTTTGAGACAGGGTCTTCCTGTGGCCCTAGCTGGCCTGGAACTCACAGAGATCTGCATGCTTCTGCCTCCTGAGTGCTGGGATTAAAGGCATGCGCCACCCTGTTTGGCTCCAACTTGCATCTTTTTATAACCTTGCGTTCAAGGAAAACTGGAGAGTGTAGTAAAAGGGCATGCTGAAAGGAGGTTCAGAATGGACCGTGACTTCTAATCCACTGTCTTCAGAAAGCCACCTTTTTGGTAGTCTACATGTGTATACATACATTTAGCTACACTTCCAAATAGCAGCAGTAGCAGCACCACCACTCTCCCTCTTGAAATAATGCAATTTGTATCTAGACAGACATGCTGGACCTGGAGATGTAACTCAGTTGCACAGCCCCTACCTAGCATGTACAGGGCCCTGGATTTTAGACCTAGAAACACACACACACACACACACACACACACACACACACACACACCACACACATGCAAGGGGGGGGAGCTCACTTTTCTAAGGGAGGCTGTAGCCACTGTTCTCAGTGATGTTTATTGCTCTTCTTGTTCCAATCCCAACTTTATAACCTAAGAACTAAATTATAAAATTTACCCCAAAAAAACATTTTATAAAAGTAGCAAGGAAGCCGGACGTGGTGGTGCACGCCTTTAATCCCAGGACTCCAGAGGCAGAGGCAGGCAGGTTGTGAGTTCAAGGCCAGCCTGGTCTACATAGTGAGTACCAGGACAGCTGGGACTGCAGGGAGACCCTGTCTCAAAAAGACCAAAAAAATTTTTTGTTAATTTATTTTTACTTTATGAAAACATTCATTAAGGTAAAGAAAAAAACATGGGCCCTCATACAGACTTCACTTTCTCCTCTTACTTGTCAGTGAGCTAGTGAGCTCTCCTTATCTCTTCTGATTAGTTTTACTTTGAAGTTTATTTTGTCAGCTAGTAGAATTGCAACCCCTGCTTGTTTCTTAGTGCCATTTGCTTGGAATATTCTTTTCCATCCTTTCACCTTAAGGTAGTGCCTGTCCTTGAAGGTGAGATGGGTTTCTTGCAGATAGCAAAAAAGGTGGATTTTTTTCTTTTTTCTTTTTAATATTTTATTACTTTTATTTTATATGTATGTGTGTGTTGCCTGCATGTATGTGAGTGTGCCCGTGCCATGCAATGCTGTGGAGATCAGAAGAGGGCTTCAGATTCCCCTGGAACTGGAGTTAAGGACGGTTTGTAGCCGCCATGTCGTGCTGGGAATCGAACCCTGGTCCTCTGCAAGAGCAGTCAGTGCTTTTAACTGCTGAGCCAGCTCTCCAGCCCTGGATTTTGTTTCTTAATCCATTCACTTAGCCTGTGTCTTTTGACTGGGGAGTTCAGTCCATTGATATTTAAGGTTATTATTGAAAGGTGTGTATTGGTTGCCGTCATTTTGATTGCTGTTTGTGTTCTCTGTCTAACTTTGTGTTTCCTCAGTTATACCTTTATTTTCCTTCATTGCCCCTGGGGTGTAGTTGTTTCTTTCTCCTTTGTATTGCTTCAAGTATTCTTTGAAGGGCTAATTTTGTGGACATGTATTCTTTCAGGCTTTTCATGTAATGGAAGATTTTTCCTTCCCCCTCAACTATAATTTTTGCTGGGTAAAGTATTCTGGATTGGCATCTATTGTCATGTAGAACTGGAAATATCTTGGTCCAGGCTCTTCTGGCACTCATAGCTTGTGTTGATTAGTCAGCTGTAATTCTGATGGTTTTCCTGTATATGTGACTTGTTGTTTTTCTTTTGCTGCTTTCAGTGTCCTCTCTGTGTTCTGTACATTTAGTGTTTTTACTATGATATGTCTTGGGGAGTTTCTTTTCTGATCCTGCCTATTTAGTGTTCTATGTGCTTCATTTGTATAAGGATGTCTTTCCTTAATTTCAGGAAATTCTCTTCTACAGTCCTGTTTAAGATCTGGTCAACACCATTAACCTGAAATTCTTCTCCTTCCTCTATGCCTATGTTGCGTGAATATTGTCTTTTCATTA